TTACGTGAACATCAACGAGCAGTAAAGGGGCGATATCACTTGTCCGAGGTCGTCATGCACACATAAGAAACTGGACACCAATTTGCATGCGACGAAACTTGCATCATTGGCTCTTGTCCATATAAGAAAGGCCGCGGGTTATTAGAAGCCATTTACTCTGACGACTCTTTCCTCAACAGGCACGTCGAATTTGACGCGATTTACACCAACCTCAAGGAAGCATGGAAGAGACGACAGCCTATCCGGACTAGAGGAAGCGAAAACCAGCTACCACCGACCGCACGATTAATTGCGGTCGACAATTAGTTCCCGAACGACCGCATAATTACATGCGGATGACGACTATTTTTCCCCAATGACCGCACAATCACATGCAGGTGAAGATTATGACCTTACTATATAAGCTTCTGTTAGCCATCATTTTGAATTAACTCTTTCGTACAAGTTCCATCCGTCTGACGACGACCTGGTGTGCCAGCGTCGAAAATTTACAATTTACACTGTTTCCCAAAGAACTGCTTCTACCGAACATAGCCTACTGTCGCTAAAGTCAACACTAAACAATTTAGCCTCTGGTCAGCAATTAACATGATGGCTGCTCTGAATTAAAGGTGTAACTGATAAAAATTGAAAACAAAAGGCATGCGGTTTTGTAAGTTGAGTGGCTGGTGGCTGGTTTTGACAAATTTCTAATTTAGAGTACCGGTGGTTGACTGACTGGTGGCTGGTTTTGATGAAGTTCCAATTTGAAGCAGGATATTTATAACGATTAATATATGCGTGGTAAACCCTGCCTTATATTAGGAGTGTAGCTGAACTAGTCGAGAGACACTTGAGGAAACAACAAACAAAAGTGGCGCACTCAGCGCGTACACTCTAAGGATAAAGTTGGCTATCTCAAAAAAAGAAGGAAGAAGTCTAAAATAATCTGTGTCAGGTTTGTGATGAATTGTATTGCGGCCAATCGGAAAAATCCAGGAACACTAACCGGCGCTCAACACGCAGGATTATCTTTCCCAAACGGACATGCACACCCTTCATAGTGGGCATAACTTCCCTTGGGACAAAACTCATATCATTGGAGTCTGTCACCTCAAAAAGGTCGCGTTTCTTGGGGCCATGCACTCCGATGACACGTGCATCAATCAGTATATTGAGTTAGATACAGTGTACAAAAATCATTAAAAAATGGAAAATACGAGAACCAGGTGATACATATGGAGGCAAACGGTGGCCATTAATTTGCAC